AGGAATATGAAGGACAAATTGCAGTCCAGTCCAATCAATACTAGTGTCTGGAGGTGCAGTGCTGAAGAAAAGAGAGGCGGAAAAAGCCGGTTAGAAAAGTTCGAACTTTGGAAGGGCCCTGAATCCGACTGATGATGAACTAATAAGACGACGCTGTCGCTTTCATCGGTTTTTGATCAAATTCATCCAAATCTGGCAAATTCTGAGGGATTGAGGGCTCGCTTATCTTTGAAACACTTGCCATCTGATTACGACGACGACGACAAGTGCAGGCCTTGGCGTCGCAGGATCACCATGGCTGTCACCTGGGCCTCCGCCCTCAAGATCACTCTTCTGCTTCTTGTTATTGGCGCTGTTGTTGCTGCTTGTTTCACTCTCCCAATCGAAAAGGTTCTTTTTCTTCCTTTACAATCTCGGATTCACTTCTCTCGATTCGGAGATGTTTCTTGGTTGAAATGGGATTGACGCATGCATTTTCGTTGAATTGGTTAGCTGCGCTATGCGCGTGCCTAATTTTTTTTCACCACTCAATTCCCCCCCCCCCCTGCGGGTTCGTTTTCTAGCGGTGGTTTCCCCCTTTCCTTCCCTAAGTTGAAATGGAATTTAACATCTATCCTTTAAATTTGATGATCCTCTGATGGCTGTGGTGCACTAGCCTGAAAGCTTTCTTCGGTCTTGTTACTTAGCTTACTGGGATTTCAGCCAACGGATTTTATGTATGAATAACGCGCCCAACGTCAGAAGAGTAGTGTTGGGGAGAAGACAATTGCACTGTATCCAATAAATAAATAAAATTAAGAACGCTCTTAAAATGGCTGATTCCTTATGTTGATAGTTAAGTAATACAGTTGCATAAATTCGCTATGTGATCTTAAAAAAACTAGGACATTCATTAGTTAAATCAATTTTCCAGACGAAAATTCCCATTCTTTTATTTATGCGTAATGAACAACAATGCTGCACTGATAAGCATATTCATTATAATTCTACTATCCTTCATTACAAGCACTGCCTTGGGATTTTCATCCCGAAAAGTTGCAGGAACATTCTGGCTGTGGACTGTTTTTTATATTTTTTAAGTTTGTTGCAGATGCTGAAGGATTTCTTGGTATGGGTTCATAGTAATCTTGGTCCCTGGGGTCCACTTGTCCTGTAAGTTATTGCAAGCTTTACTTCCTTTATTTCCACTTCGTAAGTATCTTTCTTGGATTCTTACGTTGTCATGATTGTGAAACTTCAACCAATGCATGTTATCACATTGTTGCTATTTGCTACTAAAAGGCAATTGGTAGTATGAAATATTCTGGTCAGAACAAACCCGGTCAAAAGTGCGTTTCTAAAGCTGATGCTTTGTCTCAGCTGAGAAAGATACTAACTGAAGTCTAACGTATTCAACTTTCGGTCATAATGTGAAAACCAAGGTACTTTATGCGGATCATATGGACCAAACTAGCTTTTGAAGCATAACGTTTAATATATTATAATATGTTTATCCAAAATGTCAATTTGAGAATAAATTTTTACCCAGGCCAATGATGAAAGCCTATATGAAATTAAGATCATATAGGGATTTTATGCAATATTAGCTGTATAGGATAGATATAAGTATCCTTGGAAGTTGGAACAGCTATTGGAAATTTGCAAGACTATAACTTTGTTATTTGCTTGGAGTACCATTATTGGATTTTATAAACATTGGGCTATCAAATGGTCAGGAGATCCCAATGTTATGTTAACACTTTAAGAGATTGATGATTTTACTGATTACCAGATTTACTATATAATTCATGTTCTTTTAATTTTTTTCTTATTCCTGATGCAGTGAAAAAGATTAAATTTACATAAAACAGTTGGCATGTTTAAAGAGCCTTGAGTCTATAATTTGATAGTGGGCTTGAATGCATGAAGTCTTAAACTCAGATTTATCTGGTCATCTTCAGGGCTGTTGCTTACATACCTCTGACTGTCTTGGCAGTTCCAGCTTCTGTACTCACTGTAAGAGGCATTGATACCCTCACAATTTGTAGTAGACATTATTGAATTGCTTGTAGAAATTTTCTGTAGTTGCATGTAATGTTGCTTAGAGTTGTTCCTCAAAAGCATTGCTAGATATTTGCTCTAATAAGCTTTGGTTATTTGTAAATTTCTAGATTGAACTTACCTGGGCCATCTAGGTATATAAGTTCTACAAACTTGATGGCACTGTTATTTCCCCAAAGATTTTGAGGTAGTAGATTTAGACTGAAGGCTGCCATTTTTCTTAACTTGAATGTCTGATGTCTGCCTTTCAAAAGATAGAATAGTGGGGATGAATAATGTGAGATTGAGAACGTATAAACCAAACTGAGAAAATATATTATCTTGTCTTAAATGATTAGTCTGCTGTCTGGCTTCTCCTTTGTAGTGCAACATGCGGGCACCCAACAAAGAAACTTGATAGTCTTTATATATTTAAATCAGTTTAAATCCTTTTTTAATGAAATAGTTCATTAGTACAAAGTAGGCTATTACAAAGTTTGGCCCTTGTAGTCCTCCCCGTTTACTGGAGTCAGTAGACCATGTACAGTGTAATTATTCAAGTGATGGTTTATACAAGCTTCCTTTATGTGGACTTGCCTGCATTGCTTTGTGTGCCAGAACTTTGTTCTCCTACAACCTTTTCTATGGTTGAGAATGGCCAGTGACTGGATGCATGTGATAAGGAAACGGAGATGCATGTACTGCTTATGTGGTTATGTCACGTCGCATATTTTGGGCAAAAATGCCTGTGATATCTGATTTGATGGAAATTTCTCAGCATTTGACTTTTTGAACCTGATAGTCTAATTTGCAACATAAGCATTTAATTTTCCTGTTCTGATGGCTGATCTGTGTCATTCTTTAGAACTTGATTTTTATATCTTATTGAAGTTCGCTTTAGGTTTTACTCTATTTGTTATCATCCTTTTTGCGTTTTTGCTTTCCTTCCCTTCTTCATCTCCGTGCTTCTCTTCTTTAAAGAACCTGGTGGAGTACGAAACCAACACCATGCCATTTTAACTTGATATACTGTTTTCAGCTTGGTGGCGGTTATCTTTTTGGTCTTCCAGTGGGCTTTGTTGCTGACTCTGTTGGTGCAACTGTTGGTGCAGGAGCTGCATTTCTTCTTGGTAGAACAGTAAGTTTTCCAAAGTTTTACAATATTAAGTAGTTGGAACGGAAACATCACCTTTGGAAACTCCATAATTAAAAACTTGTTTTTGTAGTAGTACCCAATTCCCTTTGTTTCTTGCTTTTCTCTATATACCATAAGCAACATTTTGGTCCATGTTTCTATTCCGTGATGTGAGGTTTTTTATTCACACCTTAGTCCTTCTGTACAGATTGGGAAATCATTTGTCATTTCTAGGTTGAAGGATTATCCTCAGTTTAAGTCAGTGGCTATTGCAATTCAGCGATCTGGCTTTAAGGTTCGTATGCTTCATAATGTTATGAAATTCTTGAATCTTCTGATGTGTAAGTGGCTAATAACATGGAAATTACTAGTGGCTTCTGAAGAAGGCTACACTTCTAATAGATCCTTTCTTATTGCTGGTTTGATTGGTGTTACTTTCAGTTTTTTTTTTTTTTTTTTTCAACTGATGTGTTTTGAATTTAATTGTCTGTCTTTCAGATTGTATTACTGCTCCGGCTTGTTCCATTACTACCATTTAACATGTTAAATTATCTCCTGTCCGTGACTCCAGTTCCACTGGGGGAATACATGCTGGCTTCCTGGTTAGGAATGATGGTATCTTCTCCACCCTTGGTCAATTATCAAAGACGAACTTATGCATAACAGAACTCTATTGTACACTTAATGATCCCCCAAATTGTGGAATGCCAAATGCCAACTAGATTTCTTATTGCTAGTTTTCGATGGTATATTGGACACCTCTGAAAGCCATCAAAGTTGTTCGTTTTGATTGCCAGTACTGCCACATTGAACCCTTGGTGCTCCCTAATTACCGAACATTGTCAATGAATATGACCGTGATTAAACTGATTTGTGAGGAATTGATTTGGGAAGGAATGTGGTTCTGAAATGGTTTTGTCTCTCTGCTAATAGTGTGGTTTACCATCTACTCCAAAAAAAATAACAAGCCTGGTCTACCACTGCATTCCACCAACACTGAATTCTGTAATTTGTATAGGCTAGCTGCTTCTTGCTAGATCCTTCCCAGTTACAGTAGTATGTTAACACCTCCAACATTGTTATTATTGCAGCCAATAACGCTGGCACTTGTATACCTTGGAACAACCCTCAAAGATCTATCAGATGTAACACATGGGTGGAGTGAATTTTCAAAGACTCGTTGTGTAAGAGATGCTAATTGTCTACTCCTTTCTGCATCATACATGCAATTTATTCATTTTCTTGACTGGACCAAATTGAATACACACACACGTGTATGCGTAACAAATGTTTACTTCTCTTGTGCATGCAGGCACTTATCATTTTGGGCCTTGCAATATCTGGTGAGTTAAATTCCTTTTAACCTAAATGCAAACTGATTCTCTTTTCTTGGCGAATCAATGTTCTGTTTTTAGCAGCAAGATGGTCATTTAATAGATACATAGATGTTGACCTCTCAATGTGTTTTTTTTTTTTTTTTTGTTTTCCGGGTGGGTGCAGTGATTTTGATGATATGTGTAACTAAAGTTGCCAAGTCTGCTTTAGAAAAAGCTTTGGCTGAAAATGGAGATATAGATGGCACTCTTCCTTCCCCAGACTTACCCATTACCTCTGAACATGCAGCAGATCTCAACCAACCCCTCATAATCAAGATAGATGATACTGCTGAAGACAATCATCATGAAAATTAAAAACGATAGTTTCTGTAAATTCTTCTCCCCGCTTTCTTAAGGCTATGTCTGTTTCTTTATTAAAGTGCTTGAGCACAAGCTGAGTGCTGACTCCTATTTTATTTATATATGGAGGGATATATTTACACACACAGAATCAATGTTAGAAATTTGGGTCTTGAATATATAACTTTTGTCGTAATGGCAGTAAATTTGATGTCTGAACCATTTTTTGTTCTTTGTATCCCATCTTTACTGCTGTAATTTGTAGAGTATCCAAAATTTTAATTTAGGGTTTCTTATCAATTCTTCTATACCTAATGATTGATAATGATTGTGTTTTCCTGAGTTAAAAATATGTGTTGTGCGTGTGTTTTGGTGTGGTGGTTAGCCGACAGGAATAAGGAAGCATTAGCGTTTTACAAAATTATTATTGTTCTTTTTTCCTTTTCAATGTGATCAATGAAACTCTTGATATTATACTTGAGCCATTTGATTTTTTTTCCCTTTTAATCAAAACAATTAAGTCGATTAATTAGATAAAAATTAAGGAGAATTATTAATATTTAGTTGGTTTTCGCCAATACTTTTGGATTAGTTGATTTTTTTAATTGTTGTCTTTAATTGTTTTGATCAGGTCACTAAAATGATGATAACTTCAGTAAGTCTGTACCATTGATACTTCAAGGCTTTTTTATAGAGTAAATTAGATGGCATTAAAAAGAATTGAAGTTAATGAGAGATTAAATAATCCGAATGATTTTTAAATTTGTTCTCCGATGCTACCTCTTTTTTTTTTTTGCCAACAATACCTTATAATATAATATATGCAGCGTTGAGTTCATTTCCCTGTCTTTTTTTTTTCACAAAATTTTTTAAATTTATTGATTATTAATTTTATAATTAATTTGAATATAAAAAATGTTATGACACCACTAAATTATAAAATTATGAACTGTCATTCTCAAAATAAAGAATTTGGTGAATGCGAGTAATATCTTACTGGGCACTTGAAGCTCATTTTTGGCTCTGCAATGATATAACCATTCTCAATTCTGATTCTTCAACTTTCCCTTCTCAATCTCATCTCTCTCTTCTTCTCTGTTACTTCCGCCGTTTGAAATGGGAATTTCTTCGAGTAGCGGAAGAAGAAGCAGTTACTTTCATAACCCACATCTTCCGCCACCTTTCTATTACTCGGCAGAATCTCCTCCTCCTCCGCCGCCGCCGCCTCAAGGCTACTATTTCTCCTCATCCACGCCTTATGCACTGCAAAGCAACAACTATGTGCCTCCCTGTCCTCAGACCCATATCTTCTGTTACTCAAATGCGTATAGCAATTGTTCCAATTATTCTAATTCTATGGTGGGTAGGTTTCAGTATCCCCCATCTTATTATGTAAATCATGCTAATGGGTGGCCTGCAATTTATGCTGCGGCTGGTCTTATCGTCTCGCCACCGCCCTATGTTGATCATCGAACGGCTAAGAAGATCAGGAACGATGTGAACGTGCACAAAGATACATTGCGGTTGGAAGTAGATGAGCATTACCCTGATCAGCGCTTGGTTTCATTCGTTTTCGATGCCTTGCATGATGGGAGGTTAGGACTGAGGACTTCCTTTGGTTCTTCACTTTTCTGAATTAGTTTAATTGCTAGTTTGTTGCTGCATTTGGATGTATGTGGTGGGGTGATTAAGATGAATTTCGTGTTTAGTAATGATCATAATGTGGATGTCTTGTCTGTCCATACAAATGATAGAAGTTTTTGCTTCAAGAAATGATTTTTCTAATTTTGACCCTGATGTTTTCATTGCTTAGAAAACCTGAGGCCATGAGGATACTCTGCAGAAGTCGAAAGAGTCTGTTATTCCTAGATATGGCACTTAGTTTGAGGATTTGTTTTGCTCCTCAATCTTCTTGTCTCCCTCGCTTAATACTTCCCCTCCCCCCCCCCCCCAAAAAAAAAAAAAGAATAAAAATTTAATACCCCGCAAACTGACACACATTTTTTTACATGATAATAGTAAATAATCAATTTTTAAATCTCCATGAATTATTTACCTAGGTCATGTATTTAGGACAATGAGATTATCAAGAAACTAATTTGTTTAGTGGGAAATTCTTCTTTTCGTTTCCTTCACATTTGTATCAGTTTAATATACCCACTATCGAGAAGGTTTCCACTTACAATGAAATGCAGAGATTTTTAGATAGGAATATTACTATTATGTCAATGATTCTATCCATCAAGGTGAGGAGATTCAACATGTTTGTTTGTTGTTTAAGAGTTAGGATAATTTGCAAATTTTCTAGCTGCTAGACCTATTACCTATGTCTTTAATGCTTATCTTGAATCATGAAATCGTAGTTGATATGTCTTCGTGTTGATTGCTGGAAAATATGGTATGTGGAGGGAGGGATCCCTACACTCGTGTAAAGTGTTTAAATCCAAATCATCAAAAAGACTGTTTAGAACAAGATATCAGCTGTTAAATTAAGAACTTTGAACAAGTGAGTCTTAACTTGATAAATTAATTTTGTTTGCATGATGCTTATGGAATGAACCTAAAAATAAAAAGATTTTGTTAGCTGGATTACCACAATCGAATACTTTTGCATGTCTAAGATTTGTACTCCTTGTATTTCTGATTGGCAGCATCACTATAATCTACTTTGCAAAGGAGGAGGAAAAATGTAGGTTTGTTTCATTGTTTCCCAATGTATTTGAGCCTATAAGAATCCCTTTTCAGAAAGGAATAGGCCAGAAATTTTGTCAGCCCTCAGGAACAGGCATTGACAAAGGGTTTTTGGAGTTGGATGATGTTTCAATACCCTCACTTGGAGATGATGTCTTCCCCTTTGTGATATGTGCTGAAACATGTTTACTAACTTCATCAGCAGATGACAATCTCTGCAATTCCGTGTTAGATTTTTCTCCTCACATGCAGATTACTCAAGCAATCGTAGAGAAAGGCAATGGTGATGGTCCTTTACAAGTAAAAGTAGACAGGCAAATTCTGTGGATTGATGGGGTCCGTTATGAGTTAAGAGAGTTATATGGAATAGGAGGCTCAGCAGCAGCTGGTTTTGATGACAATGATTCTGGGAAGGAGTGTGTAATATGCATGACTGAACCAAAGGACACAGCTGTATTGCCTTGTCGACACTTGGTAAGATTTCATATAAAATCTACTTATGTAGAGGGTTGATATTTAATTGTTAAGCAATAAGTGCGTTTTATTTTTTATGGCCTAAGCACATGGATTGGATAAGGGCTACTTATATGGGATGATGGTTGTGATAATCATGGATAATGGACTGCCGTCTGCAGGAGTTTCACTATATCTGTATTTGTTAGAAGAGGGCTGTTGGCTGTTTCATGATCCCTGTATCATCTTAGAATTCTCTTTCCTTCCGCTCGTGATTTTTCCTTTCTATGTTATTCTCAAAGCTATCAGTTCTTTGCATGTTTTCAGATCATGTATATATTATTAAAACTGATAAAAGAAAATATATATTGCAATCGTTTTCCATATGAGTATTCTGATTATAATATACTTGTTGTATTTTCCAGTGCATGTGCAGTGACTGCGCACAAGCTTTGTGGCTTCAATCGAATAAATGCCCAATATGTCGTCAATCTATTGAGGAACTTATAGAAATTAAAGATAAACAATGGTGATTAGTGGGATCCTAGATGGTAAGTTGAATTGTATGGTATTAGCATCAAATGCCTTACTTTTCTGCTTTGTTCTCATGTCTGCACTCAGGTGATGTATAGAAAATTCCATTTTGTATCGTGTTAATGTTCTTCTGTTCATAGTCCTTGTGTACTGTATAAAAAGGGAAACCAAACGCCGTTTTCTGCATAGATTTACAGCTTATTCTTTCCTTACCTTTGTCTGAGTGATTTTTGACAGAAGGCAGTTTTTCTATTCTTGGCAGAATAAGGGACACAAAACAACCTGGTTTAATTTTTGGATAACTTCCTTCTATTTATTTGGAATATTATGATGATTCTCTCATACAATTTTAGTTACTAGTCAAAATAATTGGTTTTGGCCATTATGCTTCCTATGTACATATATATTTGGGGTTAAACATAATGGGACTGTGATCTCAATTGTTGTTTTATTCTCATCAGTGTGAAACAAAGAGTATAAAGGAAAAGAAAATATTCCGGTTGTTGGGGTTTGATTTCTCTCTCTTACAGCAATAAAGAGTCTGGAGCTAATATTGCCTTACAAGTTAGCATTTCTGTTGGACAGAGGCTGCCAACTTTCTTGAGCAGGATTCCTTAGTGCGTACTATGAAAAGATTAAAGTAATACAAATATATTAAGTTAATTAAGAACTAATTTATCACATATAGGCAGAAATTTTTTTTGTTAATTAGAGTGTAAAGATGCAGACCTGCTGGAAGTAGGTATGATCATGAGTGGAAAAAAGTTGCCCAGAAATACTCTCTCAGTTGCAGTGTAAGACTACGATTGGGGTTTGGCCGCACGTTTCTTACATGAAGAAACCAATGCTTATGGTCTCTCTCACCTCATTTGAATTAATACTCAATCACTCGTGAGAGAAGCAGGGAAGCAAAATCAAACCCGAGAAATAAGCCATCTTAAACCGAATCATACCAAAGTTGTAATGAGATCTCTATATTCTTAAACACTGTTTAATAAGTGCTCGCTCGGCGACCACCTGAGCAGCCTGAACATCTGCAATGCCATAAGGTCTAAGCTTCATCCCTCCCATGTGCGAACTCACTTGGCTGAGACCACAGTGACGATTCAAACTCAGTGATAGTGCCAGAGATGTATCTGAGAATGACTCCTTTCACAGTTTTCTTCCCCATTACTTGATCCCCAATTTGGTTGGCAAATCATGTTTCGAAATGAGTAAAACTCTGGCGAGACGTGGTGAGTGAAATGAGCCCAAAATACCAATTTTAACTTGATTCCGACATGTTGGATGCTAAATGTGGGTGTCTTTTTCAGTGATGATTCAAATTTTAGTTCATCATGTTATGAGGATTTAGCCTCTTTCACTAAACTCAAATCCTGAATGTCAAGTATTATCATGGCTCTTGCCGATTTGATTTAGGTCTTGGGCCTCACATGCAAGATGCTGAATTTGGAGGAGCACGCAAAGGCCAAACCAGCAGCCCAATATCTCTGGGATCATGTTGTGAGGAATTAGCTTGTTTTGCTAAGGGTTAATATAAATTTTGGTCCCTCAAATTTGGGCCCAATTTGGTATTGGTCCCTAAAATTTAAAACGTGAGGTATTGGTCCCTGAAATTATAT